CACATTGTACAGCGTATACCCCCTTACAGTGTACACACATTGTACAGTATACACTCCCTTACAGTGTACACAAATTATACAGTATACACCCCCTTACAGTGTACACACATTATACAGCTTACACCCCATTACAGTGTACACACGTTATATAGCATACCCCCGTTACAGTGTGTACACGTATACACCCCCTTACACAGCATTCTCCCCACTTCCCTTGTACAGTATGCTCCCCGTGTACAGTGTACTCCCCGTGTACAGTATACTCCCCGTGTAAGGTGTACTCCCCATTTACGGTATACTCCCCCTGTACAGTATACACCCCGTGTACAGTATACTCCCAGTGAAGAGTGTACTCCCCGTGTACAGTGAACTCCCCGTGTATAGTATACGCCCCGTGTACTCCCCGTTTACGGTATACTCCCCATGTACGGTATACTCCCCATTTACGGTATACATCCCGTGTACGGTACACACCCCATGTACAGTATACTCCCCGTTTACAGTATACACCCCATCTATAGTATACTCCCCGTTTACAGTATACACCCTGCATACAGTATACTCCCCGTTTACAGTATACATCCCGTGTACAGCATTCTCCCCGTGTACAGTATACTCCCCGTGTATGGTGTACTCCGTGTACAGTGTACTCCCTGTGTACGGTATACTCCCTGTGTACGGTGTTCTCCCCGTGTACGGTATACCCCCTGTTTACAATATGCCCCTCCCCGTGTACAGTGTACTCCCCGTGTACAGTGTCCTCACCTTGTATGGTATACTCCCCTTGGATGGTATTCTCCCCATGTACAGTATTCTCCCCGTGTACCGTATACTCCCTGTGTACAGTGTACTCCCTGTGTACAGTATACTCCCTGTATACGGTATATTCCCCGTGTACGGTATACTCCCTGTGTACAGTGTACTCCCTGTATACGGTATATTCCCCATGTACGGTATACTCCCTGTGTACAGTATACTCCCTGTATACGGTATAGTCCCCGTGTACGGTATACTCCCCGTGTACAGTGTACTCCCTGTATACGGTATAGTCCCCGTATATGGTATACTCCCTGTTTACGGTAGATTCCCCGTGTATGGTGTACTCCCATTGTACGTTATACTCCCCGTGTACAGTGTACTCCCCGTGTACAGTGTCCTCTCCTTGTATGGTATACTCCCCTTGGCTGGTATACTCCCCGTGTACAGTGTACTCCCCATGTATAGTGTCCTCTACATGTATGGTATACTCCCCGTGTACAGTGTCCTCCCCGTGTACAGTGTCCTCTCCTTGTATGGTATACTCCCCTTGGCTGGTATACTCCCCGTGTACAGTGTCGTCCCCGTGTACAGTGTCCTCCCCGTGTACAGTGTCCTCCCCGTGTACAGTGTCGTCCCCGTGTAGTGTCGTCCCCGTGTACAGTGTCCTCCCCGTGTACAGTGTCCTCCCTGTGTACAGTGTTGTCCCTGGGTATACCTTGTGTATGCACCCTGATTAATCTGTCCCCTCTCTCTTGCTTTCTGTTGCAGTGTACCATGTGATTTTTATTTACTGTGCTCTGAAAGGGAAGGCTGGCTATCGGTTTTTCTACCTGCCCTATTTCGAGAAGTGATGTGCCTGGCAGTGGTCTGTGCTCTCGGTGGGAATTTGTCTCACACACACAGCCCCCCGATCGCAATTTCACCCGACGTGGAACTGGCATTTCCCATCTCTCCGTCTCATCATTCCTCTTCTCCAAACATCTCCAACATTCCGATTGATGAAGGCTTCTCCATTCCACTGGGATTGCTCCCAGAATTTCCCTGTTCAAAAGGACTGCTCCTTGCACTCACTCTCCCTCCCTCTCACACTCTCTCTCACCCCCTTTCCTTCCTCCTTCAATCTCTCACTGCTTGATCTTTCTCCAGCCCCGATCTTGTTTCTCATCCCTCTTCCCTTTAATTCCGTTCCACTTCTCTCCCACCTTCTTCACCTCCTCTTTCGCCTGCTCGCTCTCTGTCTGTCTCTCACTATTTCTCTCTGTCTGCCGCGGTCTATCTCCCTCTCTACCTCTCCCTCTCTCTTATCTCGCTCCTGTCTGTCCTCCTCTGTCTCTCTTCGTCTTGTTTTCTTTCTCTGTCTCTCTCTCTTTCTGTCTGTCATTCTCACTCCCCACCTCTCTCTCACTCCCCTCCTCTCTCTCACTCACTCCCCTCCTCTCTCTGTCCCTCTCACTCCCCTCCTCTCTC